AGGAGCGGTGATTAGTACAATTGCGCGAGGAATCCAGAAAACGGAGTTTGATTCACAACCACGGCTCACATCAGTGGAGGGTGACACCTCAACTGGTTATGGGGCCTCTCTTCACCAAGCTGCATTGACAAGCGTGGTAAACTCTGGTCATGCCAACCCCACATGGGGAGACCATCTAGCCACAGGTTGACATAACGCTCTAAATAATTGTATATAATTAAATACCAAGTAACATTTTAATGGCACTAAATAGCTCAAATGAATTTAACGAGGGACTATAATTCAGTTCCGGGGCTAGCTGGCGTGGTTATGAACATCACCACTGGGGAGACAAAGGTAGCTGGGAATGCGTAGCACTGGTCACACCACTCACGCGTCTGCAGTGCCGCTCTGCAGAGATGCTCGCTTACAGCACTTGCCCGAGTAGACCTCTAAAAATAAAGGGGGGGGATATTAACCATCATAATTATTTCATTGTGTGTGTGTACGTGCATAAATTAGCGCTCCAGATCATACTTTTGATTGCATTTTTTTACGTCGATTTCTTTTTTTTACTAAGCCAATCGACTCCGCAAAGACCGAACACAATCGCACGCTGATCTCTGCTCGAATTACACCCCGATAATGCCTATTTCTATTGCAGGTTTCGTTTCCCTGCCAATGGCGCTTTACGCATTGCACTCGCTTGAACGGTCGCGCCGTCCGAGCGGTTGACGGTTTTACTTTTTGTTTGTCTCGCGCCGGATTCTTTTGAAGCAATTCGGAATGCGCAGATCGCAACATTGGTTGGTTGCCTCATTTCGTATTCACTACCGATACCGGAACCCCCACCACACTATAGCCCCCCCCCCCCCCCGGCATCAGAGTCGATTAAAAGTTAACGAACCATTTGGCACGCACGCCGCCTCTTTTAATAAATGGGACATTTTGGCTTCAAAGCAAGGCTTTCCTGTTTACACGTTTGTAAAATAAGTTTTTTTCTTTTAACTTTGTTCTTATTCGATTTCACCCATTTCAGTTCCATTTTTGTGAAACCAGAATTCTGTCTGGGATAGTTTAAATAAAACGTTGATACCTTTTTGCATTTCAACATTTAAACACACGGTTGAAACGCACGCCCTATTTATTTTCAGCGATTTGTTTACCCACAAATATCATGGTCGTGTAACTCATTTTATTAAGTAATGATGCCAGGTGATATTCTTGCGTACAATGGTGATATGTTCAGGAGGTCGATGCCAATTTCGAGAGGTATTCAGGAGAGAGTTCATGGAGTGTTGCTGTTCCTTATCCGTTTAAAGGAGCGTAGATTAGAAGTGGCTTACTATATGATACATCGTTTGTATTGCATCCCCACAACAGAAGCTATGTGTACATAATCATCAGCTCAATACGGTTAGTTACGTGCCTGGAAATTTAAAAACACGTGATCAAAGGGACCTGCTTGGGATTATCTCATTGAGTATGCTGCGCGTGTGAAAATAATAGCAGAGTGGATAAACCCCATATCCATTATGCATTTCCGTGGAGTATTTTTTTTCCATGAAACAATCATACGCAGACCTCCGTGTTGTGCCTCCACATATTACTAAAATGTGTTTAGGCAGTCAGCCATTTGGCCTATTGTTCGGCAGCATTTATTGAAGCGGGCAGACTTTCTACCGATTTTGACCTTACTGATCTGGAAAGCTGATGGACTCGACGATATCTAAAGGGGTTTTGAGTCTCAAGCACGAGGCAATCTCTTTGTGATCCACTCACCCGAGCACCGAATAATTTGAATTCATGGCAAGTGCCACAATGCTTGCTCACAAGTGGACAGGAATGCAAAAATATCGGTGTGTAAATACTGGATTGCCTTTTTGTAAGTCATCGGTGTTCTTTGCTGTCCAATACTCAATTGTGCATTGGGATGTTTCCACCTCCCTTGTCGGCACTGGACTGGTGGAGAACATTTCACATTCCCTTGGCAAGCTTCATTGGAAAATTGGTTTCCTACAAAGCGAGACTAATTTTACTGACCCCAGAGTATAGATGATGGGCTGAGCAGATCCCCGGGTCATTATTTTAACTCATAACCTGATTAAGGGCTAGACCCGATGCTACATAGCTATGCAACCCAAACCATGGGCCATATAATAAACCACTGTAGTCTGCACTTCATCCATGGAGGAATAGCAAAACGACACAAACTCTCTCCTGAAGCCCGCTCTCTTTTCGTGGCTAGCAGACCTCGACATTGACATTCATCGCCTCAAAATGTCGACTGCAATGTGCAGGAATACAATCGTGCCACCCGGCCGGATTATTTCGGCATTTATTTGGCACTCATAAACAATCAACAACAACAACAACAACCACGCTCAGCAACCGCACGCTTATTCTAAGCCCATCCTTTGTCTTTGCCGGTTTGAGCCGACGGGCTGTCACAATGATACCCCTGCTACTCCGGACAGCGCAGTGCGACCCTCCACAAATCTCTCCGCCTTAGCAGCAGCAGCAGCGGAGGCAGCAGCTGCGACACAGTCTATCCAGAGCACAACACCCGCCCCCCACCACCCCCCTTACGTTCCTCTAGCTGCGTGGCCTCCGTAAAAGCATAGCTGCTGTCGCTGAATTTTGATTTCAATGGACGATCAGGAGGGTCGCTTTTTGTTTTTGTTAACGCAAATATCCCTCCCATCAGACCCGCGCCACCACAGCCCGAGTCTAGCGTGGCGAGACAACCTGTGATGTTCAGACACCAGAAATTAATGACAGCTTTCCAAAAATGTTCAGTGGAGAATAAAAGTGGTCAATTTGGTGATAATGGCAAAGATTTTACCTTTTTTTTTCTCCCTATCAACTGACGGTGAAAATACCTCTACTTCCACGTGAATTGAGCTGCACACAGTCTCATACCAATGTACCTTTATATTTGTTTATTTTAAAAAAATTGTTTGAAATTAACGTTGCAGTCTTTTAAAATCTGATAAATATTCACCGTCTTAGAATAAATAAAACATTTGTTCGCTTAGAAGTACCAGCCATTTCAATAACGTCATCAGTTTTAATCACAAGTTTTAATCCAATATTCTTGTTGAGCAAATGGAACACTTTTGCAAGGGGTTCGTAGGGTGGAACACAGTAATCCAGTCCATATATTTAACAAAAATACTCTTGACATCAGTTACGAGAACATACGATTTTATGCCAGTGTCAAATTTAACCACTCTTAATAAGTTACAATATTAATACAAATAATGTCGGGAATATTTGCTCATGAGCCACATACTATTAAGATTCCTTTCAAATGACTGAATATAATTTTACCATTGACAGAAATTGTGCCATTTGAACCATTAGGGTTCAGTTTTATAACATGAACATTAATTATTTTACATCGATGACCATTTGCAAACGCACCTTCACTCTTCAGCTTGCGACACATGTGAGATGCTTAAAATAATACCGAAAGTTTCACCTGAAAATCAATCTACGTTAAAAAAATTATGACGTTCGGAGATTTCGGAACGAGCGATGCGACGCCTAATTTGTAATCGCAGCGTTAATAGCCAACTAACCTGAAATCGGCAAAATGACAATTGCAAAGGGGAATTGAATTGTCGAGTAAAAAAAACAACACAAGATGAGAATTCATTTAGGCACAAAACCTACCCCTCGAATTGTGGCCGGAAAATGCCCAGGAGAGATTGAGAATGGCTCTGACTGAAACTGAGCCGCCACTGACGAGCTCCTGGGTTTGAGTTTGAGATGCCCACAATTAAACTGGATTCGTAATTCTAATCACTTAATTGTCACCAATGACTACACTCAGTAAGGATTTAGTCTTTATTTTATTTTAATTCATCCTTGTCTATGTTTTTTTTAATAAATATGTCATGTGACCCACATACGGTGAACCGATCTTCACAAAGCACGAAGGATTGCCGTCTGTTGTTTGATGACAGCGGCTTCTTGAATTGACTCCAGAATTGGTTCTGCAGTGTCATCTTCAGCACCAAGCTCTGCTTGACAGTAAAAAAAATATATGTGATAAGGATTGCCCCCTTTGCAATTGCAGGCAGTAAATCCTAACCTCGGATCAATTATTTTTGATTTTCACCTTCTTTCAATTTGATGAGCGCGTGATGGAATTTCTTAAAATATTTGGACCAACAAAGCACGCGGTACTAATTTCCAATGTCCTTTCTGTCTCTCCCTTTTCTCTTTCTCTCTCACTGCAACTACATGGATATGTGTTCATGTGTTCCCCTGTTTGTGTGTATACCTGTGTATGTACATTCATACGCCCATTACAACAACATACACATATTTACGTGAATTTACCCACCGACTAACACCACCACATCTCATTCACACTTTTGGGACTTTTGCACGTTCATATGTACAAACATAACCTAAATTTACATACACGCGCATATTTATGCGTAATAAAATGCGCACATCACACACTTCAACATACACACACCTCCGCACACACACACACCGACATAAAATGCTGACGCGTGTGTGCGTGCACCATTCAACACACACGCAACACGAGCACGTGGTTGTGTTTGCCGTCTGCTGCTCTGTCCGCCTCTCGCGTTCTCTGTCTCTCTGTATCCCCCCTTGTCTGTTTGTCTTCACGTCTCTGCTTTTCTCGATCTACCTCCACCCCATCGCTCTCTTCCTCTGTCACTGTGCCTTCTACATCTCTGACCATCTCCCTATCCGCCTGTAACCCTCGTTTCTCCGTCTTTCTCTCTCCCCACGGCCGCTGTTACTCTCGCCCTCTCTGTCTTTCTCTCTTTCCCACATCCCCATTGCACTCCCACTGTACCTCATCTCCGAGCCCTCCCCATCTGCCTGCCTTGCCTCTCTGCCTCTTTCTCTGCCCGTCTCTGTGCTTCTCTGCGTCTCCCTGTCTTGCCCTCTCCCTGCCCTCCTCTGCCCCTCTCTCTCTCTTTGTTTCTCTGTCTCCGTCACCCCCCCCCACTGCCCTCCCCCCTCGACAGCTCCGAGTGGTGGATGCGTTCCGTAGCTCGCTGTACGAGGGCTTCGAAAAACCCGATTCGCGCACCTCCATCCACAACTTCATGAACGACCCCGGCTTCAACATGGACGACTCCCAGACCCAGCTGGCCTCTTTGGGACACGGAGGAGCCGCGTCGGACAGCGGCGCGAGCGACGTGGACATCAAATCCAGGGCCAGTCCCACGGGCAGCAGTAAATCTCACCTCAAGCCTGCCACCGCCACCACCACCACCACCGCAGTGACGCCTCTGAATTCCTGCTTCCCTCCGCCGATCGGCGACTCCGCTGCGTCCGAGCCGTGCCTCGCCGTGAACCCCTGCCCCAACCCCTACCCCAGCCCCAACCCTAGCCCCAACGTGGCCCTGAAAGCCAACGCGGCGGCCGGGAGGTCCAATCTGTCCTCGTCTTCGTCTTCGCCGCCGACCAACCGCAACACGGACAGCGGCGTGGCGCTCACCAACACCTCGCTGTCTTCTGCGCCCGCGAGCCCCCAGAACAGCCTGGAGACGGCGCTTTAGACGGAGAGGCGCGGTGGGTGACGGAGGGGGGGGGGCGGGGGGGGGGGCACTTTTGGATTTTTTTGGGGGGGGAGGGAGAGCGGCCGAGGATCGTCAAAGTCTGACAACAAATTAATCGGAATACGTTACTGGGGGTGTGGCGGTGGCAATCGTGAAGAGTTTCGCTCCACCGCGGCACCGTCGTCATCATCATCGCCGCCGTCGTCGTCGTCACAGGCAGGAGAAGATGATGGCCATCCGTAGTTCACCCAGAAGAATACGGGGGAGGGAGGGCGTGGGAGAGGTGTGGGGGGGTGGTTGGGGATGGAGATGAGCGAAGAATGACCAATTGAAAAATCTAAAGTCAAACATCGGCTTGTTTGCTCCCAAGTCAAGTGTAGGTAGAATTTAGTGCAGTGATCAAGACAAGCGGATTTATCGTTTAAGCTAATATTTATTTAGCCGAGCCGCCCATGAGAGCGCTTCTTTAATCAGCAAGCAGACAGAGAATGATTACCCAGGCTCTGTCAATCATTTTTTGTTTCGAGAGATTCAGCATAAGAGAAGGGTGACAACGCATTCGTCGATTTTGTTTAAACGTTTTCTTTCGTGACATTTCATGAACGGTAGTTTATGTTTTAGTAATCACAGATCGGTGATATGCATCACGATTTTTCTTTCTTTGTTTCAGAAAATGATATTTCATCTCATGTATTTATCGTTATTTTTTGCAATTCCGCTCGAAGAAAATGTTCAATTTTAACAACAGCAAAAATCAGTTACAGACGTGTGAATTAAATTGGGATGCTATTTTCATGGTTGCAATTTAGTACATTTTTTGCTATTAACCTTTTTTGTAGAATCCAGCCTGGCCAATTCCATTGAACGCCGTTTTTATTAGTTTTTTGCTGTTGACACTACGGTAGGGGTTTGTAGGGGGGAGGGGGCGTTATTGTAACCAAAAGCGTATGATTAAATGTGCAAAATTAATGTATTAGACTTTTAAAAAAGTTTAATGTTTAATTTGTTTTTATAAAAATGCAAGCACTCTTTAATCATCCATTAATGATTCCTTACCACAACACAAGTAACTATAATAACTTCCATTACCCAGGTAACATCCAATGTTGAAATGTGTGCGCTTTAATCTATAAGCACGTTTCTTTCCCAGTTTCCTAAGTGAAGCGCCTATAATGTTTTTAGTGGCAATAAAATATTTGCAATGGGGTACATTTTAGAAAAAAAAATGTACTTAGGAAGCCTACCGCATCGATAAAGAATAGCCACGATTTTCGCCAAATGCCAATAATGTTGAACTAATTTAAGCTTTCAGTTTCCAATATCTGATTTATTTTTTACGCTCATATTGATTCAGACTCTGGGTGAATCTATGACCGTCACTCGCAGGTCCGCGAACAACAAAATAGCTCGCAATATTACGATACAAAATAATGTTTCAGTAATTTTTAAAGGTATATATATAAAAAGAGGACATTTTATTGGGAAATATGGTCTACAAAGACAGCCTTAACGGACTGTTTGGGCAAGTGCTGTTAGCACCTTTGTGAGGCCTGTACAGCGCACGAGAAAGTGTTGTCAACAACCACATCTGGCCGCCTTCGCCTGCCCGGTGCTTATATTGACACACCGCACCAGGTACCCATTTAAGGCTGAGTCAACCTACGGAAGGCCCAGGACCGGTTCTAATATTCACCACTGTTATTGGTCTTGAGCGGGAATCGAACTTGGGTGGGCGGGTTCGTGGCGCAGTGTACTAACCAACTGCACCACAGCTCCCCGTGTGTGTGCGCGCGTGTATACCGATATGGCAACAGTACACACGCACACACCACAGGCTAAAGGTTACCTGCCTACAGTTGTGGTGTTTCTGTTTTTACTCTGTCATCGACGATCCATCTATCATAAAAGTTGGTGCCCCTGAATTCATTTAACGCAGGAGCGCAGCTATATTCATTACGTACATACGTGCAAACATTCATTTATCGGCAGAGGCGATGCACATCCGTGGACCCGAAAAGAAAAAGTGCATCAAAGTGTCAAGATCAGTGACTTTTGTGTGTGCGCGTGCTCACGTGACTTTATGCAAAACATGAAGCATCGACGGGGAAGTGGCACTTTGATGGCGTCTTGTTGCCTCGAGTGGGGGAAAAAAGTGGCCTCGAAATTTGAGATAAAATGTTTTTCGATGTTGCGTCTGATGTTCCGAATCCGAGCCACAATCACGCGCACACACGGAAGTGGCGGTGGAAATGTTTTTTTGATTCAATTTTCAAATGCACGGCACCCTTTCAACTTTCTCTCTCTCTCTACACTGCATTTCCCACAATCCTTAAAATAAATGCGCTTTACTCTGCTACCACATTGAAAGCGTCAAAAGGAACCGACGGATAAGCTTAACATCAGGTTGATAAACCCTTTCAAAAATATAATGCGTTGAAAAAATATTACATCCACCTCTTGCGAGTGAGTGAGCGAGCGATTGAACGGGGCTTGGACGTGTGTCTAAAATGTGGGGGGTGCAAGTACACACGTGTGCAGAATATTTATGGATATGTATATGCAGTATGTTATGTATACACACATATATAAGTATATACAGGCTTGTATGTGCATGTGTGTTTGCATGTGTATGTGTGCATGCAAACATACAAGGTGCTGTATTTATCGATACATGGATGCAGTATATACATATACAGACATGTATGTTCGGCATTAAATGGCAAGTGGATTAAAATAGATTCCTTTGCATGAGACACATGCATCAAATTGTGTGCGTAAGAATGGATCCAATTGAAGTCAATCTATCCCAATACCCTGGGCTTGCGGAGCAACTGAAACCATACAGGACACTAACAATCACCATACTATACAAGACGAGAGTAAAACCTAAAACAGTAATAATGAGACACAACTTCAACGAATGCCCATTATCCCAGGAAACCCTTATATTTTTTTATAAAGAGGGTATCGCATTGGGATTATGTTGGCCAATTTGGCCAGTTCCATTCGTGGAGAATTAACAAGCGGCATGGGGCGAGGAGTGAACGAGTATGTGCCTAATGTATGTCCCATTTACATGTGTGTACATGATATGAGTTGATTCTGGATTACTGCAGAAGAGAAAATGTCAGCACCAGGCTTCCTTGACTGATTAGTTCCTGCGATGTGGCACTCTCTGCTACAGCAGCCGATGATTGCTGTCAATACCTCCCAGTCAACCTTCACTCCATGGGAGGTTGCTCACTCTCCTCTGCTTTCCCCATTGTCTGGAACTCCACTCCCCCCAGCCGTCTGTCCTGTTGACTCCATGCCACCATTCACGTCGAGGCTCAAGCCTTCGCTTTTAACATCGGCCCACGACTGTCCCTCTTTCTGCAAAATATATATCTCTCCACAATTGTTTTTGGAACCACGTTTTGAGATGCGGCTTCATTTAGACCCCCATATAGGTTTATGTTTCCCATAATTAAGAATGATTTCGTTCAACCCGCCTTCACCCAAGGGGCAGAACACGACTTTCTTGCTCCAATTGGCTCACACGGAGCGTAGCGGCCCCCGCTTTGCTTGCAGCAATTCGAGCCCCTTTCCGTGTTACTGCAGCTCTGGGGTAGCGATGCATGCGGCAGGGCTGGTAACAACAACAACAACAACAAAATCATTCAAAAGGGAGCAACTGGCAGTCAATTGAAGCGCTGGTTTCTGGCGTTTTCTGCTTCTAAAGAACACCCAGAAGTAACTCTCCTTATGTCTCCCGCATAAACTCCTTTTGTCGATGTCTCTGCGTCTGCATATCGCCTATTTCACGGTAAAGACATTTTGGCACGGCACAGAGAGCCTGGTAATCACAACGTCCAACGTAAAGATCTTTTTTTTAATATATAGCTTCTGAAATGTTCTTAATTCACAGCGGGCGCGCGAGCGGCACGATGATCCTTAAAGGAGCCCGCATCATTACCGTCTCTAATATGCCCCGAATTGTTCTTGTAATTATATTGACGTGCAACTGCCCGTATAAACATTTACAGGTGTGTGTGCGCGCGCGCGTGTGTGTCTGTATATAGTGTATCGTGTTACTCGTGGGGGGGGGATAAGAAAAAAGCAATGGCTTTGGTTGAATTTTGCGACGATTCGTGGCACGTGGCGCATCAGAGCGACGGTGACCTCGCGACGTTCGCGTCGGCAGCTCGCGCTCTCTGCGTTGTCCGTGACGTTCCGGCGCCGGACCCTCCTGCGTGACTGCCGGGGCGTGAGTGGCCGGGACATTTATGGAGCGGCATTCGCGGAAGAGACGGAGGAGGAACTCGCACGCCCGCATCTCTCGCGTGCGATAAATTCGGCCTCGCCCCCTTGGGGGAGGACGCAATCCGGAAGACTCTTGATCTTCGAGACGTCGGAGTTGAAGGCGCATGTGTGGTAGTCGTAGTTGGAGTAGACGCTTCCTTCGGGCGGGGGAGTCCCTCGAGTGGTCAACAAGGTTCGCCCGGTGACAACTGGCGGAGTGTTAATGATCGCTGGCGTAACGATTGCTGCGCTCGCGAGCAAACTTGAGACCGGGAGCACATTGGCGAAATATTCGATTGCCATAGTGTGGTCGTTCAGTATAAACGCGGTTCACCCTTTGGTTCTCCATCAGAGGTTATGTTTCATGTTTGGTTTGGTGGCTTCTCTGAACACAAAGACAAAGATTCCACCCCGCCCGTGTAGCCTGCAGAGGCTGTTGGGGAAAGTGCTGTCGACGAGCACCTGCGCGGGCCAGCACGGCACACGAGGGGGGTGGAGGGGGGGTTTGGCCGTCTCCCCACACTCTACTACAAACGCACACACACAAGCACACATACACGTAAGTATATGCACCACCTTGCGTGCACATATGTAGAACTTCTTTTGCACCGTGCGTAGCCAACCGTGCTAATCCGAGGTGCGGGGTGTATCCACACACACACACCCGCCTGTGTGTGAATGCAATTGGGTAGACATGTTTATTATATATTTTTTACAATAACCCAACGTAATGTTAAGCCTATTCACGTCGTTATCAAAAGCTCCTGAACATATGGTGGAAATTCCACATTGCTATGGCAGGGGGGCAATTTTATTGTATGGTAGCATAAGATTTGGCTCTTGAAAGATAAATCGTTAACTTCTAAGTGTTGATTAATAACATTTAGATACACTGCGAATATATACACTTCGAAAATATGCATATATTGTAAATAATAATAAACCGTTCAAAATACAAATGATTGCTGAACATGGAAATTGACGTTAAAGTTGATGGGCTTTGCTTATGAAAACATTGGAACTGACCAAACATTGATTTCTGACACTGTTCCCTACAAAATGTTATCCTTGTACGTATAATCATTACCTGATAAACTAATGTAGAATTATTTACATGTACACACTGGCAAAGACACAAACGCACCAATACACGCCTACGTTAATTTGATTTTAAAATTACGATTGTTTGCTGGCCGGAGAATAATTGAGCACCTTGCGGATAATTTTTGAATGCTTTATAGATATATGCCTCGTTTCAAAGCGGTGCATTAACAAAGTGGAATCTACAATTTGATTTGTTTGTTTACAGGGTATGTAGATAATTTTGCCCAGTTGCATCTTATTCGGACGCTTTTCATTCTTAGCATCATGGATTCTCCCTGATCAGTGTGACACAGTTATTAAAAGTTACGTTGTCCGTGCACTTTGATGACATTAATGACTCGTTTAATTTAAAATGTATTATAAGAATTGTAATGGAGCGCTGGTTTTCTTTGGTTGGCATGAATCCAGCAAGGTGAGATTTGTATGGGTTTTGACGCTGGATTAGCTAATATTAGCATCCCTGCCTGGTTGCCGAACAGCTATGCGATACACAATTGAACGCGCGTGTCCACGCGTGTATACACACAAACACGCGCGTGCGTGCGTGAGCACACAACCATGCAAACGCAATGCTGTTTTACCATATGCAAAAGTGTGCATCTTATCGAGAAACAGACACACAAAAAATCCCCAGTGAATCCATTTGTTATGATTACAAAATCTTGCAAGGCCTCAAGTGCAATCCTATAACAGTCTTAATTGAAAGATAACATTTTTTAATCTAAACTGATTCATTATAAGAATGTATTCTTAACTCTTTAAGGCATTAACAAAAATCAATTTGAAATCTACGGGGAATTTTGCGTTCTGTGGATTTTTTTGCATAACAATTGTTCTGAATGACCTCAGAACGCCGGCCAGCACGTGCACTTTTTGGCACAGTGTTTCTACGCAGCAAAGGAGGGCAACTCTCACTTTGAACTGCATGATGCACACACATGCAGCAATTGCACGCTCACTGGCCGAACGTCAGCATATTGGGCTTAAATACAAAAGGATCTGCTTTTTCTTAGTATTGCATCATGGAAGCAACAGGTCTCATAGTCCCACCGAAGAAGAAGAAACGAACAGGTCAATAATTTGGGATATATTACAGCGGCTGTAATCATTTGTTTGTATTAACAAGGCAAAGCAATACTCATTCTCTGTGTAATGAGGGCGAGGTCAATTTCGTTGTGGGCTTGCCACACCATGTTGGAAAAGGTCCCAAATCTACAAAATCCTCGCCGTGGCGAAATTACACATCGCCAAATTCAGAGGACACCGACAATAAAATAAAGTGAAATAAAGTCAAATGGAAAATGATTGCGCCGCGTTTTTGCAGCGCTGGCCCTAAAGCAGCGCTCAGAAATCTGACTCGTCATGGGTTTGAGACGCTGCCACATTGTCAGTATTGTTGCTGCTAAGCGTGAATCTGCCGTGCGAGGTTTTCTGTTGTTGCAGCAAAAAAAAAATGGTTCCGTGTCACGAGGCGGCGGAAAATGAAGGCGGCTTAAAATAAGGGATGTTAGGGCCTACGAGAGAGCGCAACTTGAAAATATAAAGTGTGTCTGCGTGTCTTCTTTTCTGTTACCTGTCGCTGAAGAAGGTGAATATCGTTTGCTGCATGATTAACAAAAAAAAACAATATCTATTCTATAATGCTCTTTTTCTGCATGTCTGAAAGTGCGTGTTGAAAATACAGAGGCGTTTAAATATTAAATACTAAAATAATAATAAAAACACACGAAAAAACACATGAAAATAAAAAAATGAATCGAACATTAAAAAAAAATAAAGCTTTACTGTAAAAGTAATGCATTTAGACAGGATGAGGAATGATTACTTACATGAATGAAAGCTTTTGGAATTTCGAAGAAAAAAATATAACTGCAATCGTTGTGACATCGCCACGTATATATCTCTATAGTATGAGCAGAACTTTTGCACGTCTAACCGATTGTACGCGGACCCCCCTCCCTCTCTCCTTCCCTTCCCCCAAGTCCATCATCGAAACCCAACGTCAACCGTTCACCCCTTTGCACGTTGTCCGACGTTTCTTTGGTCTTTGTGCGTTGCTCGAAAAATAATATTTTATGTTTCCGTCGTCTGTTCGTCCCGGAGAAATAAGCATGATCGTCTGTCCCAAGTGTTGCGTTCCATCCAGTTAAACAAAAATAAGTCACCAATATCTTGTTTTCATGTACTCCTAACTCAAGGAATGTATTCGTGTCCGTAATATAAATGTGCGTACTTCGAAGTCAGTTTCCTTTTTCTTACAAAGAAAACATATTGCAGAAGATATGAGAACCAAGTACTTCAATAATTACTGGCGCGATACAATAATAATCATCATCATCATCAGTATCATCATCGTAATCTGAAATCAAAAGGTGAACCTGTCACAATCACTTTCATCTTGTAACCAGTTGTGGGAATACCACATTCCTCTGGTAGGGAGGAGTCTTTTCATTGAGTAATCACTGTTGGCTTTCCACAATGTGTTGCCTATTTTATGCACCCTGCGGAGATGATAACGATGGGCTGAGTTGAGCTAATCTCGGTTTCAAACTCAGCCTTTCGATTGTGAGCAAAGCATTCTGCCACATTTCCTACAGTACAGTTACTTACCGTGTTTTTATGATAATTACAAACGGGAAAGGCAAATTAAATTTTACAAAAAAAGTATGACAAAATCTAACAATCGATTCCTCTACAAGCAATACTGTTGTTGTACCTTATTTGCAGGTGGACTTGTACGATCAGCTGCGTCTAGAGCAAAACGGTAAATATGATCCGCCTGTTGTGTTGGGATATTGAAAGACACGTGCAATCGTGGGCATTGGACATTCATCAACTTCCATTGAACGAGGACTTGAAAGCAGAGCGGCATCAACAAATTACGTTTGAATGGGTTTTAGAATTTACAACATTCAGTGCAGCTAATATCTATGGAACGAAGCCCAATGCAATTTTGAATTAGGTAATTGTATTCTGGGATCTGATAAGATTAATTGCCTTCACACTGTTCATTTTTTTACTTCTTTTATGGCCAAAGAGAAGCCTCACTGACTCTCAAGACTCTTTGCACGAGGCTCCCGCTTTGGGATATTTGGTCAAATTCCTCGGCGAGGATTTTGCGTGTTCGAGAACACACGAGGCATTCATCCTCAACACCTATAGGAAAGCCCTACTTGCTGTAACTACCATCAACTTGCAAATCACAGAATACAGACATGTATGATAACATTTGCAAATAAAGCTTGGCCAGCTGGTAATTTATAGCACACATCTGTACCAACACAATATATACAAGATACAATAGTGTACGCACATTGTAAAATGCTTATAACCAGCTGTTATTGCCATTTCCTACAAAGCAGGGAACTATTACAATGGTAATGGTATTTTTGTGTTGTTTAGATATCTTATCAGATCCCATGTCATCTCCCCCAAAATATGTAATTCATCTCACACACCACACCACACACATACTCAAGTACAGAATGTGAAGAGAGATGCATGGTTTATTTTATTCTTGGGGAGTAGTGGTGCAGTGGTTCACAGACTGTGTTACAATCCCAGTTACCTGGGTTCCATTCCTGGCCATGCACGTGTCTGAACTTGTCTTGGCCTCCACCCAGGTTAATTCGTCGCCTTCATTTTGAGGATCTGGCGTAGTGTGTAAATGTTTGTGTCTATTTCAAATAGACACAAACATGAAAAACACTGTCACCACTGGTTTTAAATTGGCTAACCTTTGGACAACGGAATACAAAAACAATAATACAAATAGGAGTTGAGAATAAATATTTGTCCTAATTATAGGGCAAACAAATATAACTCGTGCTAAGTCAAGTACAATAATAATGATGATGATGTTGACGATTCCATTGCATTTGATTAGCATCTCATTGATATCGTGTGTGTATGCATGCAGTATTTTTGGGACAAACTTTCCGACAGAAGGAATCATAGAGAATCTGACGATCGATTATTCCGCTTGTATTGTCTGAAAATACATGTAAAACACCACGCTTTCAAATGCTCACCAACCTAATTACAACCCGAACCCCCTCATTTTTGAATGAAAATGGAACACTCCAACGTTCCTAAACGTATGTGGACAGCTCCATATTCACCCTGATGGGGTGAGTAGAAACGATTGTACGAGAGGAGTGGAGTTGATAATGTATTAAACGACAACATTAGTAAGTGAACACATTGCCAAACGGAGTCCGCCGACTTCAGAGAATGTATCTGGTGTAGAAAGTCGATAACATTTTGAATCTCTGTCAGACTCCCGTTTCAAGATTCGCTGATATTCTATTAAAAAAAACACGTGACTCCATTTGCCTGTAAAGCATCCATGCGGTTGTGTTATTGAGTGCCATAACAGTCGTGGTGCGTATCAAAAAAATCATTTTAAAACATTATTTTACGTGGTTTATTACACTCGTTGCTTGGTTTTCCAAACAGCTAATAGCTATGGCATATACAAAAATCACTTTGCGAACACACACAAAACAACATTTGCATTACGCGCCATTATTCAAAGTGCTGTACTGTCATGTTTTCATATAATGAAATCAGCGTCTCCCTCCCTCCCTCTCCTTAATTAATTACATTGTAAAGCAATTATTGTTATATTTGATTACAGAACGAAACCTTTGGACTGTCATTGTTAATGCTCCTTTCCGGCGGCACGGAGACGGAGTAGAATGCCATTGTGAGCTGGAAATTGAATCTCTTGTTCGATGCGTGAGTTAATTAGCCCAACATTGCATTGGAGATCTATGGCAGATGGGGATTTGCGTTCCTTTTTTTGGCACCAATTCTGAATGAGCCAAGATACTGAAATCTGAGCGAGTGACAAAAAACATTCACGGAGAGTTCAAACCCCTGATTTTTAATCCAGTGCCTCGGGAAGAGCTGGCTTCGTGTTGCAATGTGTTTGTTGAGGCTCCACCACGTTCACACGTCTGACTTTGAGCTCGTGATGCGTTGATCCGAGCTCAAATTGTCAAATACATTTCCAGCAATGTTTAACCTTCCATTCCTGCTACCGCCCGAGTTGGCGAAACTTAAGTGGTTCCGAATGCCTTGACGTGGCCAAACGCAGCGAACCGTGCGAAAGCCACTGACAATGAGCGGAATTATCAAGTAACGCTCTCTCCCATTGGCCACGTGAATAAATCCGTACAACTAAAGTTTTGCCACCTGAGGTGGTACCAATGTCTGCACTGGCCCATGGGCTATGCCTGTAATCTTTTTTCCCGAACCGTGGTGTGTGTGGAAGCCAATACCACAGTATTCGTGCTGCGATTGTAAATTTGAGTGTTACCAAAATTTTATTTTGCTGCTTAATAGGTCGACAGAAAAACTATTACCCTTGCAGTTTTCCTCAAATGAGTGCACCAACTATAAATTGATCTGTGAGAAAATGGAACTTCAAAGGAGAAAACATGCATTTGTTACGCGTAGAGTTGATCATTTTTGGGTTTTAGTTATTACATTTTTATTGGGTGTATCTTGTCTTGTTAAATAAACAAAAAAGTGAGTTCAATTAGAAAGAATGATATTGGGGGGGGGGGGGGGGCTATTTAATTTGAGAAAAATCCATTTATGGTACAGACAAGGGATTACATGACGTGATAATTTGACAGAATCATAATCTCTATTTGGAGGAATCCGATTAACTATGACGCTCTTTTTCACAGATGTTCCTGTATGGGGTGGGTTAGCAAGTTAATAACAGCAATGACACACAGGTCAGCGAGGGATAGTCCAAGCTGGCCTGTGTAGTCGCATTCATGCGACTCATCGATGTAGTCGTATTCATTACAGAGATAGGTCTGGCTGAACACCCAACAGGAAGAGAGCATGTAATCTCCGCATGCCTAACCCCACTTTGACCGACGCCACAATTCCCCGTCAAAGCTGTGGGTCTTGAATGCAACACAATAAACGTGGCTTCTAATAAATCTCGCCACGTGGGTTGGATCCCGACCCTAAAGCCTGCTGTATATTTGGAGTTTGCATGTTCTCCCCGTGGACGCGTGGATTTTTTTCCGGGTCCTCCGGGTTTCCCCTCCATATTTAGAATCAACGTGCGTTTAGAGTAGTTGGCTGATATAAGTTTCCACGTGATCAGCCACTTCATTGAGCTACCATTTGTGGCCAGGTCGCTTTTATCAAAGAGCTAGAAAACTCAGTGGGCCTTAACTGGTAAAATAAAATTTTAAAAAATGTTTGTTTTAAAAGCTTTGTCTGGACTATGCATTGCGTAATCTGTAACGCCATGCAACAGTATTCAAGTGTTATCCAAAGTCCAAACTACTACTTTTATGGTGACTTTTCTCACGTTTTCATCTGTTGTTATTCTTTATCGCAATCACGACCAATATTAACGCTGTGTCCTGAAACGTTGTCCAGGAGTGGGGGTGGGAGGGCTTCATTGCGATTTTGATTTTAAAAAAATTAACCATTTCACTTAAGTTGTTGTTGTAACATTCGTAAGACCGTTACGACCACTGCTCTTGACAAGTATATTTCCAAGAAAACGTACAGCTTTTTTTTCGTTGTTATTTTCATGCCATACACATGTAAGCAACGTTGTGAGAAACAGCGATTGAAAAAAAATATACGCACCTTCCAAAAAACACGTTATTTTACCGTCAACATTAAGCATTCAAGTGGCTTGTTTTGACAGCGTTAGAGAATTGTGGGCAATATATAATCGACCACAATTTCAAGTTGGTGTGTCGTGACTATTAATTATATCAATAACAGCAGCTGCGGAAATTCTTGAGCCAACTGTAGCGTCCGTTTATAATAAGGAACTACATCCGAGACATCACTACTGCTATTCGAGAAAAGAAAAAAAGTAATAATACATTGGATTTATGTAGCACTCTTCATCCAGGGATGAAAGCGAATAAGGAAACGCCGCTCGAAAAGGGGAAGAATGGTGTTTGTGTGAAGGTTCACCAGTGACTAAAAATCGCATACACTCGAATTGTACGTGACTTTCAATTTCTGAACACCAATGCAAAGCTCTCTGATTTGTAGTGTACATACGAACCGCTGTGCAAATCTGTTCTAATTGAACTATGCAACTTGGTCTGGTGTCATTTGTCTTGTGTATGCCCCATGTGTTGTTGCTTGACCGATTGTCATTAATAAATTAACGTGCGAATAAATAGCAAACTCGCTGCCGACACTTATCTGTAACAAAATATCTAATTAAAGGCATCTCTTTTTTTTTGGTACGAGAGCGAGTGTGCGTCTCTTATTCCCAGACGGCTAGTGGTGATGGTGATCCGGAGCTGTTGGAGGCAGCGGGGGGTGATGTGGATCGCGGACAATTGTTGCGAAACTCCTTCCCCGTTGGGCGTCGAGGTGGTGTGCCATACCCCAGATGCTCTTCTGCGGCCGTCTGGAACGCTCTTCAAATATCAGAGAAAGCCACTGGAGCTATGCACTTTTAAATCTGGTTTGGAAACTAATTTCTGCAGAACTGCTTTTTTGTGTTTCGTTTAACACGTAGGATTTCGCGAGCAATATTATCCATAAGATTTTTTTTGGGGGGGGGGGTTAGATCGCGTAAATATTAACCCCCCCCCCCCGGGCCTTCGTACGTGATTGGCTCACAAGTGACGACATCACATCCCTCTATTTAAGACCAAAACAGGAGGATTTCTCCACACATCTTCCCGTCGCCAGATGATCCTTGCAATTGCTGGAGAAACGTCTCGCTCGAGTCGTTAACGTTGTGGATTTACTCTCCAACACACCGGCGTGCTGTACTCGTAAAGAATTGGGACGTTGCGGTCAAAATGGGGAATTCATCCGTTCTATATGTATGGGATAGAGTGTTTCCCCCTCGCATGCGGGGCTCTTCTCCAGGTGCTGCTGTATCCTCCCACATGTAAGCGCTATTTTTTTTACCAAAAACTCCTTAATGCTTAGATAACTGCAGAACTTGGGAAATTGTTGCCAGCGGCTCACCACGTGACTGCCCTCCTGCTTGTCTGCGATTCCTCGGACTTCTGGCTCGTTTTATCCCAACGAGAGCGCAACAAACACCGTGCTTGCAGCGGCACCGCGTGATAAGTTTTATTTACTTTTTGTCCATTGCGAAACGTCCCTGCAATGGCGGCGAAACTCCTCGGGAAAGCCCCAACGGGTCTCTTTATCCGCATCGTCCGGGGCGGTGTGGGCAGATCGCACGACCCACAATTATTCGCTAAAAATCACTCATCTCGCCCGCGGATGAATGCGGATAAAAGGACGACCCCCCTTATCCGTGAAACCCCTCACAAACAAATATGGTCAATTTAGCGCCACCGTGGCGATCACATCCAGGGTTGCGCCTCTTATCCGTGGATTAAACAGATTTTGATTTGCCACGCGACTCGTCTGATCCGCAAAAAGTCAAAATATTGGTAAGTTTTTGCGAATCCATTGGAGGCCGCAGTATGAGTTACAGCCAAGAGAGTGGAGTTTTGCTGTGCAATGCTTCACCCCATGGGGCTTCGTCTCAGCTGGAGCGGTCCAGGAATGTGCCACGAGAAATTAAGCACTGGTTGGGATGTTGTGGACCAACCCCTGTATTCTCGCACTTTGGAATTACGTGAACATGTCAGCTATTTATTTATTTATAGTATATGCAGATGTCCGTGTGATATAGAGGGGGGAACAATCAATTTGGTGACAATATCGCAGCAGTAAAAAAGGGAAATATGAAATCACGTGGATTTGTACGACAATAATGATGTACTTTCTCGGATGAGAACCTACGTATAAATAGCGACTACAATTGTACAGGGTATATATTTACGGTGTTCGCCCTTTTGGCGTTATCTGGCCTAACACTAATAAGACGAGGCCTCTGCTGTAGGCCAATCAGTGTCAAAGAGAAGGCACACAATCAGAGCATGTGCGTGTGCACGTTTTGCCAAGAGCATGTGTGGTTCATGCAGACTTGACGCCTTGCAAAAGGCGTTGCCCATTTGGTGAGCAACTTACAATATGGGACATTTGCTGCCAGTATCAAAATATAACAATAGGTTTTACCCTTTCTGGAAATAAAACAGTTGTGTCAAGGTGTTAAAAACACCGAACAGGATCCTTTTTCAAGGAATCCTGTCTGCATCAACCACACGTACTAGCGGTGAACATGCAAACAAAAAACACTGATAATAAAAGCAATGATTCCACACCAGAGACAGCTTTCTTTTGAGCCTAAGACAATGTATATAATATCAGAGCACGTTTTTTGTTTGCATGTTTAACAAAAGTACGTGCGGTTGATGCAGACAGGATTCATTGAAAAGG